CGTAATGGCTATGTCACTGGACTCCCACGTAGTCGACCGCAGTTTGCGTCCCGGACCCAGTGGCTTAAAACTAACGTTGGGCGCATGTGCGTGCGTGCCCAAGATCCCGAGAGGAGAATGGAGGAGAAGGGATTGTGGCATGACCACCTCCCCTGGGGGGGTGATTTCTCGCTTTCTGTCTCTATGTCTCTGTCTGTCTGGCGAGCGCACGCACCCTATAGCAAAAACCTCTCAAAAAAAAAAAAAAAGAAAGAAAGAAAGGAAATGTTTTTGTACGCAGACAATGAAGATCATGCTGGGTGATTTCATAAAAACATGATCAAGTCCGTCTACACTGCAAGTCTTTTAATAGATGTCATAACAGTATTTGGAGAATTCACTGATGAAAATGTGAAACATAGAAAGTATGCAAGATGGAAGGCAACATATATCCATAATTGTTTAAAGAATGGGGAGACTCCTCAAGCAGACCCTGTTGAAATTGAAGAAGATAATGCAGATGTTGAAGAGAATGAAGATGCTGGAGCAACCTCTCTGCCCACTCAGCCACCTCAGCCATCATCATCTTCAACTTACGACCCAGGCACTATGGCATCAGACAGCTACACTGGAATCCAGATCCCTCCAGGGGCACATGCTCCAGCTAACACGCCAGCGGAAGTGCCTCACAGCACAGGTGTAACAAGTAATACTATCCAGCCCACTCCACAGACTGCCAGCCTTTGATCCTGCACTTTTCAGTACAGTTTGCCAGGGGGGATATTCGTTTAACCCCAGAGGACTTTGCTAGAGCTCAGAAAGACTGCAAATATGCTGGCAGTGCTTTGCAATATGAAGATGTCAGCACTGCTGTACAGAACCTACAGAAGGCCCTCAAGTTGCTGACAGCAGGCAGAGAATGAAGCCTTTGTACAGCAGATCTGTGTATTTTTGGCATAAGGAACTAACAGTCCATTACTTTATCTTCAGCCTTTCAGGAGCACAGTTTTAAGGAAGACTTGAATATGACAAGGAAATCTGTGTGTATCAGATTCCTACTGAAACACTCAGCAGCAGCCTTGACCAGTTTTCACTGTCCATTTAATGGATCCAATAATCTCTCCGTATGTAGGGCTGCTGTTAGCAAGATTCTAAAGATACCCATTTAGCCCTGCTTCAGAAGTGAAACCACACGTCAATGAAATGTATACTGGGAGTAAGCTTTGTTTCTTAACTCACATACATAACGGGTTTTTCATCTATAATGTTTGAACAAGCAGACCATAATACTTTGCTATAAAATTTTAAATTTAACTCTTAATAAAGATTTCTAGAATATTCTAGATTACAGATCATACTTTTGTTTTCCTCAAGACTTATGAAACAAATATGAATATCCTAAACGATCAGATGAATCCAAAAGAGATTATGTTCAAAACTCAGTTTATATTCTTATTAAATATGGCTACACTGAAAGTTTAAAATTTCGTGAAAGGACATATAATAAGGTAAAGATGTAGAATCGCTTTTAGACTTAAGAATAATGTTGGTTTCCCATCTGCTTTTTCTTACTCTTGAAGCTTAAGGTAAATTGATATTTGCTTCATAGGCAGTCTGCATGTAAACTGCCTGAAAACTCGGTGCTTTTAAGTTAAGGTTCTTTGCTGCTGTGGAATGGATTCCATAGAGTGTATAGCTGTGAATGACGCAGAAGATAATGCTTTAGAATCTTAGTTGTTAAGTTTACAAGTTTTGTGGAGAATTATAGACTTAGTGTGTCATCTGCATTTGTGCTATGTAAAAAAATAAAGATTCTTTTAACTAAAAAAAAAAGTCATAAAATTCCATTTCACCCATTTATTCTCATGCACTTTTAATATCTCTTCTGTTGAATTTGCAGTGTTACTGTCATCTGATCTGTCTGTTTAAATTCTGGAAGTTCACATTCAACATTATTATTGATCTTTTTCTACTTGTCCCTACCATTAAGTTGGCCATTCTCTTGGTTGTTTTTTGTACTCTCATTTTTGTGTTTCTGACTTCAGCATTCCTGGTATAGCACTCCCTTCAGAACTTCTTGGAGAACTGGTCTGGTGTTCATAAATTCTTTCAGGTTTTGTTTATCTGGGAATGTTTTTGTCTTTTCTTCCCATATGGAGGATAATCTTGCCAAGATATTAAAAAAAAAGATCTGTCAATAACTGTGGTGGAAGTAGAGGCAGACTGACATGATAGGTCTCATTGCCTATTCTGCACATCATGCCCCACCAAAGTGCCTTAGAGCATGGAAAATAGTTTCCTCATCGGGCATGTTAATGTCATCACTGAACTGCAGTTTTGAAATTTCATTAGCTGGAAGCAGGAGGAATTCTTTGTTCTTTATTACCTCAATGAAGTGTTCCATAGTGTACTTTCAGGGGCTCCATACTGCCTTGGACATCTCCAAATGATCAAATCCCTAAGCAGTTTGTAGGATGAAGCTGCTTTATGAGGAAATTGGAGGAGACTTCAATGGCCTGAGTCAGCTTCAGAAGACAAGCTGCAGCAGCAAATTTTCAACGGTCTCTTCTTTCAATTGCGGGACACCTGTATAAGCAAACTGCACCAAGGAATTAAATGCATTTGGATCTACTCATTCCATCCTAATCTCTTCTTGTTTGCCTTCAAGCAAATCATAAGTAAGTATTGCAGGAAAATAATCAGACACTGCACTGAGGACCAATTGATAGGCTGGGATTTGGAGGTGTCCAGAAATGAGTAGCACATCACATAGTTGTTTCTTTCTCAAATAGTTCTTTGTTTTACAGATCTTGTGTTCTGCACAATTTGTAGCATGGAACTGCTCCTCAGATCTGGTGACATTAATTTCTTCAAGATGCTGTACATCTAATCTTGCTGTAAACTCTTTTATATTGTCATCAGCCATCATCTCCAAATCTTGTGAGTGTTTCTCACAAGCTGCTTTGAATAAATTCTCCTGTGGAACTGCTCCAGGAATATCTTCGTTTGCTTGAGTATGTTCTATTAGCTTTTGTTCATGCCAATTCTGAAGGGGTCTTTGATGGGCAGGGTCCAGTTCTGGCACTGGCACCAGTATATTGTGGTGGACAGGACTGCTGCTTTTCTTCAGTCCATTTCTGTACCAAGAGTGTTTTTTTCAACCTGCCCTGAACTGAGATCTCTCTATGCTCATATGCTTTCTGCTGAAGGCAGCTTCCAGTGTTGGGTGAACATTGAGAAGGATGACTGAACCACCTCCAACACAGCCTTAAGATCTGTTTTACATCAAACTCTTTCTTGCCTGACACTGAAATCATTGCACAAGGAAAGACAAAAAGCCTTCTCTCACAGAAAGGTAACAGAGACTTTGTTATCTCTTGTTTCATTGCCTGTTCTGTAGAACTAACAAAAGCACAAGTGCTGAGAGAGAGAGAGAGCAGTCTTTTTTGCATTCTCTCCCTTTCCCTGCTGCCTATGGTACACTGTGAATACTTCTAGCCTTCTAGCAGAAGCAGAAAGCTGCAGCTAACAGTTCAGGTTGGAACCCATACTCTATCATGAATTTTTAAAAATAATTTTAAAGTACTAGAAGACACGTCTTTCCCACCCCTGGATCACCATCTATAAGAACAAAGTAAGCCTTGAACTGCCAGGTGACTATCTTTGCCTACCTGGGAATGAAACCAAAAAGAAGGAAAGCAGAGCTGAGATAATGAGAAAAAAGTGACAATGATGCTGAAGACACCATTTGAATCCTTGGATCCAGCCATATCTTATTAACTCCATGGAACTGTCCAGTTACATGAGCAAAATTTAACATTACTACTTATGTGAATCTTTGGACTGTAGTGTAATGGTTCCCAGCACAAGTTCTGGGGTTAAATGGACCTAGGTTTGAATTCCAATTTCACCACTCACTAGCTGTATGATTTTGAACTCAAGCATGGTAGTCATTGTTGTTGTTGTTCTTAGTATTATCTTTCAGCAAGTTTGTATTTAAAAGAATGGATCCAGTTCCATGTTTGTCACTATCGCCAAGCACATGCATCTCACTCTTTTATTCCTATGATTACAGGACTATAGGGGGGCATTTGACTCACCTTCAGAAGCTTTCCAGTAGGACACACCAACAGCATGAAGACTGACAGGGTGAGAAGCCATGTTTTTAAGTGTAATGATCACTGTGTCATAAACCTCAGCCCAAATGGTTGGACCCAGCAGACCTGCAAGAATTAGATGTCCCCAAAGGTCAGTTAGAAAATGGCATTCCAGAAAACTTGTTTTACAAAGGTTAGAGTCAAAGTCACAATAGTTTAAAAGTATTTAGTTTATGCTTGCCAATCTCAGCTCAGCCTCATGATTGTTTTGAGAAAAAATTTCCAGTAATTCATTCAATACATTCACTTGTTCGGTTAATATTTGAGTCCCTGCTATATTTTAGAAACTGTGCTAGGCATTGGAGATGCAGAAGTAAAGACAGTTCATGGAGGTTCCATTCTAGAGATTTTAAGCATTTAAATAAGTAAGAAAATTTCAAGTTGTCATTAAAAAAAATGTGATTTGATAGAAAATGAGGAGGCAGGAGGTAGGGGATACTTAAAATATAGTGGCCAGGAAGGGCCTCTCTGAGGAGGTAGCATTTGAACAGAGATCTGACTAATGAAAAAGAACCAATATTTGCAAAGATATAGTGGAAGAGTACTCAAAGTAGATAAAACAAGTACAGAAGTCCCAAGGTAGGAATAAGCTACCTTGGCAAAAGTAAGCTTGGAAAGTTGAGTAATGTAGTTGTAGAGATAGTCAGGGAACATAACATGTGAAACCTGTTATGTAGACCATTGGGACTTAAATGGATTTGGATTTTACAAGTGAAAGAAGACTTGGGACTTGTTTTGAAAAAATAATTACCAGCACTTGCTAATGAACTGGATGTTCAAAAAAAAAAATGAGTAGAGTCAAAGATGGCTGTTATAACTTTGGTTTATGCAACTAGGTGGTTAGTCAGGCTATGACACAGAAAAGCAAGAGGAAAATTAAGAGCTATGCTTTATGAATATATTAAGTATAAGAAGCCTATAAATAGTTTACTGAAGGAACTGGATTCAGTGGGATGAAAACATGAAATAACTCTATTTTTCTTAACCACTGGTTTTAATTGCATGATGTGGAATCTTCTTTTCTTGCACTTTGATTACAAATCTTTTCAAAGTAACCTTCAGATATTAACAAATAGCATTATTATTAGGTACTAATAAGTTCAGTCTAATGTCAGATCAAACTTTTAACATCCTCTGTAATTTAAATGGCCCTGCCTCCTTCAGCTAAGTTCTGACAGGCTCAGAAACACACAAAGAATAAGACTATTTTGTTGGCAGCTTCATTGCTTTCCCATCTCCCTCTCTTAATCTTCCTCCTTAACTCACCTTACAGTCTCTGAACCCTCTAGGGTAGGATCATGTGGGGAGAAGGTAAGAGTTTAAAAAGAGTCATTATGACAAGATCTTTCTTTCTTTTTTTTTTTTTTTGAGAGATTTTCACTGTAGGGCGCGTGCGCTCGCCAGACAGACAGAGAGAGACATAGAGACAGAAAGCGAGAAATCACCCCCCAGGGGGGATGGTCACGCCGCAATCCCTTCTCCTCCATTCTCCTCTCGGGATCTTGGGCACGCACGCACACTCGCCCGGCGTGAGTTTTAAGCCACCGGGTCCGGGACGCGAACCGCGGTCGACTACGTGGGAATCCAGCGACATAGCCATTACGCTAACTGCTGGTTCCCGACAAGATCTTTCTTAGAAGGAGCAATGATAATGTGGCATTCATATCCCCTGGTTGTAGCACATGCCAAATTTTAGGCTCACTTTCTTAGAAAATTTATAGGAATTCTTGGGAAAGCTTTTCCCTCCCAATGTTTTTTTTTTTTTTGAGAGGTTTTTGCTGCAGGGCGCATACGCTTGCCAGAAAGACAGAGACAGAAAACGAGAAATCACCCCCCGGGGGGGATGGCCACGCCGCAATCCCTTCTCCTCCATTCTCCTCTCGGGATCTTGGGCACGCACGCACACTCGCCCGGCGTGAGTTTTAAGCCACTGGGTCTGGGACACGAACCACGGTCGACTGTGGGAGTCCAGCGACATAGCCATTACACTAACTGTTAGTCCCCTTCCCTCCTAATGTGGAGACACCTCACTGCCTCTCTCTCTGCATACATGCCCTCTCTGACTGGTCACTTGTATCTCTCCTCTCAGATTCTGCTTACGGCAGTATGACCCACCTAGACCTTTTCTTTAGACCACCTAATCCTGATAGCAAGACTCCTCAGGAAAGGTCTTCATAAGATAAGATTTGTCCTGCGACCTTCCTGTCCTTACACCGAAGAGTGGAATACAGTGAGCTTCCATATAGACCATCCTGCCTGCTGTGCTATCAGGGGCAGTTTTCTCCAATCTTTGGCCTTGACAATTTTTCCAGAGAAAAACTATGCATTAGTCAGTGTCTCCCAAATTTTTTAAATTTATTATTTATTTTTTTATATACATTCAATCACATTGTTTAGCTTACAAAGTGAACATTTCAATATGTGAACATTTCTCCCCAGTCCAGTGTCTCCCAAATTTTGAAGGCCCAATGTCAGGTCTTCTAAGTGGTTCTCCTAGAGCCTTTCTCATAGCTTGACATGAGGTAGAAGCCTTCCTTCCCCTCACCCCATGGACTAGGGAATATACAAAATACCAAAAATGTACTCCAAAGAAATTATGGGGTCCAGCCACAGAGGCACAGGTGGTTCTGTGTAATACTGGAGCCATGTGGGAAGCCTGTATTTGGATCCCAGGTGAACCTGAACACACTGGGTGTACCTGTGCATGCCTGTAAAACTGACTGGCTTAGAGGCTAGGAGGAGTATCATAGCATGGTGAGATCCTGTGAGGGATACTTCTCTCTCTTTCTCTCTCTTAATAAACTTAAAAAAAATAAATTTGTACATCTAAACTCTTTCATAAATTCTTAGCCTTCTTTAATATATATCAATGATAGAATAAGGGTTGCAGAACTGATTTTGAACCATCGCCTAAAGAATTCCTAAAGATGTAGGCTGAATATGAGGATATCTATCACCTGTAATTCTTGGCAATTCTAATACAGGAAATACCTCATCTTGTTACATGTTTATTTGATATGTAAGTGAATGTAAGCAGTTGGCATTCAGGAGTAAAATCTGAACTGAAGAAATTTATTTGGGAGTTATCATGACTGGCAGGTGGCATGGTGGTTAAAGGCACTGGATTCCCACATGGCCAACTGCAGTTTGAGTCCCGGACCTGGCAGCTTGCTTTCTTCCTTTCCCCTTTCTCTCTCTCTCGTCAAATTAAAATCATCATAATAATAATAAATGGAATTAAATAAGTAAATAATTTTTTGGAGAGGTTTTTTTCGCTATAGGGTGTGTGCGCTCGCCAGACAGAGAGGGACATAGAGACAGAAAGCGAGAAATCACCCCCCAGGGGGGATGGTCATGCCACAATCCCTTCTCCTCCATTCTCCTCTCGGGATCTTGGGCACGCACATACACATGCCTGGCGTGAGTTTTAAGCTACCAGGTCCGGGACGCGAACCGCGGTTGACTACGTGGGAGTCCAGCGACATAGTCATTACACTAACTGCTGGTTCCCAGTAAATAATTTTTAAAAAGAAATTTGGGAGTTATCAGCAAATAGATGATATTTTAAAGCTCTGAGACTAGATAAGATCACCTAAGGACTAAAGATGCAGAAAAAAATGAACCCATGATTAAGTTAGTAGCCTGAGGTGCACTAACATCTATGGACCAAACAAAGGAAGAGGGCCCAGGAAAAAGGCAGAAGATTCAACTAGTGTATTTCCCTAAAGGTATCAGTGAGGGAAACCTGGCCCAAAGAACATTCTCTTTGGCAAACTGCCCCCTTTGACTGCAGCTCCCTAATTGGGAAATTCTTGCTAGAAAATAAGATAGTCAGAATCATAATTAACATTCAATATTGTTTTTATTACCCATCCAGGGTGGCCTGGGCTTGGCGATGTTGAAAAGTTGATCCGTGAACTCTACAAACACAGTCTTTTTATACATGATTGAAGTGTTGAATGGGAAAGATCTTGGCATTCTAGGAGGAATTCTGTGTGAAGAAAGGAAAAAGTTACTCACTCAAAGTGATCAATCAGGTATATGAATACCTAATATCTATCAAACCAAAACATTGTTTTCAAAATTAAATTAATACATTAGTTACCATATTATAAAATAAATAATCAAATAAATACCTATACATTGCATTAGCAAAAAAAAAAAAAAAAATCCTTTGCCAAAGCAGTAACCATCAAATTTTAATTTTACCTCTAAAACAGACTATAACTTATATATCTATGTATCTTGTATTCAAATATTGTTAGTATGTATGTACCTAAAATTATACTTCCCTTTTTACAGATACAAGGAATAGCACAGAGAAAATTACCTTCAATGAAGACTATGTACATTGAGGCCTACTGTGCCAGAATTTGTAACTCAGTGTCAATATTACATTAATGCTCATTCTTGTCTCCAGTCAGATACTCTCAATTATACATTTATTCATAGATCATCTAGTGAATCAGAAATTACATATTCAGCACCTTAACCACCACGTCACCTGTCTGAGGAAGGACATTTAGAAGAAAAATAGAGAGGCATAGCATTAATGGGACAAAGAAATGTGGTATTATCTGTTGAAGATAACTTTATGGTATTATCAACTGGACTGGGGAGAAATGTATACATGTTGGAATATTCACTTTGTAAATGAAATGAAAAATTAAAATTAAAATTAAAAAAATAAATCTACAGAACTCAACTAAAAAAATTGAATAAATGAAAATATATCCCTTACTTACAAAAAAAAGAAAAAAGAAAGAAAAAAGAAATTACATGTTATACAACTGTTTCAAAAATATTACTCCTAGCCTTAGTTATCAAAACACTTTTAGGCAAAGACTGGTTCCCTACTTTTCTCTCTCCCTACCTGATAAAGTTAGGTTATTATGTCCTGGGCCCCATCCGGTTTGAGTAACCAAAAAGGACCATTGTGAATCCTAGTAAAGAAGGGGCACTGGCCCCAAGTGAGTTGGTAGAAATTACAAAGTGGTTAAAAGTGACTATTTCCACTGGTTTTCATATGCTGGTAATTTTTGCACATCATGGAATAGTTATGCAGCTTTCTACATTGCATAAAGAGCCTCTCTTCCTGTCTTATGCTTCTGGATACCTTTTATTTCCCACAAAATTTTACCAGTTAACATTTCAAAAATTCCAAGAGAATATAGCCAAACAGCATGGGCATTTGGGAAATTTAGTCTCAGGTGAAGAAAGCACTGATGAAGTCACAGACTCACTTAAAAGACCAAGACCTATTAGATAACTATGCTTCACTTCCCACCACACTTACTGCCACATAATTAAAGATCCATTTACAGTAGACAATTTTACCAGTATATGATGTCCAGCTTTCAACAAAAAATTACAAGGCATACCAAAAAACATAAAACACAATTATAAAAGACTGAACAAGCAACAGGACCAGAGTTAAATATGACAGGGGTGTTGTAATTACTAGACCAAAAAGTTTTAGAAATATTTATTATTATTACAATTTCTATTTTACATATAATCATTGTACATTTGTATGTTGTACATTTATGGGGTACAGTGTAGGTTTTCAATACCTGTGTACATTCTATAATGATCAAATCAAGACAATAAACATATCAACCATCTCAAATATCTATCATTCCTTTTTGTTGTGCAGATACAAAATTCACTCTTCTATTCTGAAGTATACTTTCAATTCTCACCAACTGTCATCAGTCTAGAACTCTAGAACTCATTCTACTATCTACCTTCACTTTTGTATCTGTTAACCAAATTATCCCTATCCCTTCCTCTCCTCCTTCTCAACTTCTAGTATCCAGCATTGCACTCTCCACTTCCATGCAATCAAATCTTTTAGCTTCCACTGATGAGTGAGAGCATATAGTATTTGTCTTTCAACATCTAGTTTGTTTTGCTTAGCATTATTTCCTCCAGAATTGTTCATACTGCTTCAAATGATTATATTTCACCCCTTTTATGATTGAATAGTATTTCATTGTGTATATATATACACCACATTTTCTTTATTCATTCATCAGTTTCTGGATACTTAGGTTGATGCCATATCTTAGCTATCATGAATAGTACTGCAACAAACAGGGGTGTTCATCTTCTCACCATACCGACTTCCTTCCCTTTAGGTATATGCCCAGTAGTGAAATTGCTAGATCATAGGTTAGTTCCATTTTTAGTTTTTTAACAAAAACTCCATACCGTTTTCCATAATGACTATATGAATTTACATTCTCACCAACAGTACATAAGAGTTTCCTTTTATTAAATCCTCATCATTACTTGCTATTATTTGTTTGTTTGTTTTGTTTTTTATAAAAACCATTCTAACTAGGGTGAGATTACACCTCATTGTGATTTTTATTTGCATTTCCCTGATGATTAGTGATGCTGAAAAATTTTTCATGTGTTTGTTGGCCATTTGAGGGTTTTTTCCTGATAAACTGTTCAGATGGGTTGCCCATTTTTAAACTAGATAATTTGTTGTTTGTCTGGTGAGTTTTGAGTTTCTTATATATTCTGGTTACCAATTCCTTGTTGGTTGTATAACCTGTAAATGTTTTTTCTCATTCTGTAGGCTGTCTCTTTGCTTTGCTTCCTTTGGTATGTAAAAGCTTTTAAGTTTGATATAATGCCATGCCTAGTTTTTGCTGTTACTGCTTGTACCTTTGAGGTCTTATTTTAAAAACTCTCTATGGGAGCCAGCAGGTGTTGTGGTGGTTAAGGTGCTGGACTCCCACATGGCGGACCACAGCTCACGTCCCAAACCTGACAGCTTGCTTTCTCACTTTAACTTTCTGTCTCTCTGTCTCTCTCTGATCAAAATAAAAAATAATAATACCAAATAAAGTTAAATAAATAAATGAGTTTTTAAAAATAAACCTCTTTGCTTGATCTGTGTCCTAAAGTGTTTTTCCTATGTTTCTTCTAGTAGTTTCATAATTTCAGTTCTTACATATAAGTCTTTAATCCACTTTTAGTTAATTTTTATATAAAGCGAGAGACTGGGGTTTAGTTTCATTCTTTTGCATCAGACTAGGAACTTTTAAAAACTATATTTAATATGCTGAGGACTTCAGTGGAAAAAGTAGACACAATGGAATGACAGGTGTATGTTATAAGCATAGAGTTGGAAATTCTAAGGAAGAACCAAAAAATATATTTTTAAAACATGGTAAGAGAAATGAATAATTTATTTGATGGGCTCACTAGTAGACTGGACATGGCTGAGAAAAGAATCTCTGAGCTTGAGGATATGACAACAGAAATTTCCAAAACCAAAAAGCAAAGAGAAAAAAGACTTAAAAAAAATAAAAAGAATGGAATATCCCAGAACTATGGGATAACTACAGAAGATGTAACATACGTATAATGGAAATGTCAAAAGAAGAAGACTGAATAAAGAAACAGATGAAGGGACTGGAAGATGATGTAATGGTTCCATCACTGGACTCCCACGTAGTCTACTGCAGTTCGAGTCCCAAACCTGGCGGCTTAAACCTCATGCCAGGTATGTGTGGTTGCATGCGCAAGATCCCAAGAGGAGAATGAAGGAGAAGGGATTGCAGCATGGCCATCCCCCATGGGGGTTGATTTCTCACTTTCTGTCTCTCTGTCTCTCTGGCGAGTGCACACACTTTATAGCAAAAATGTCTTAAAAAAAAAAAGGAAGAAACAGATGTAAGTATGATATTATAGTTTCCCCAGATTAGTGTTAGACACCAAACTACAGATCTAGAGAGCTCAGGGTAAGTGCAAACAATCACTACACCTAACAAACCACATGAAAACTTCAAAAAAAGATAAAGAAAAATTTTTGTAAGAAACCAGAGGGAGGGACCAGCAGTTAGCGTAATGGCTATGTCGCTGGACTCCCACATAGTTGACCGCGGTTCGCGTCCCAGACCTGGTGGCTTAAACTTACGCCGGGCGCATGTGCGTGCGTGCCCAAGATCCCAAGAGGCGAATGGAGGAGAAGGGATTGTGGCGTGGCCATCCCCCCTGGGATGAGGGGTGATTTCTCGCTTTCTATCTCTCTGTCTCTCTCTGTCTGGCGAGCGCATGCGCCCTATAGCAAAAACCTCTCCAAAAAAAGAAAGAAAGAAAAGAAACCAGAGGGAAGGGAGTCAGAAAATTCTTAGAAGCCAAAGGTACATAGAGAAGCAAAGATAAAACTTATACCTTTCTCATCAGAAACCATACAAGTGAGAAGAGGGTGGAATAAGATATTTCAAGTGTTGAGAAAAAAAATAGAATTCTCTACTCTGTGAAAGTATCTTTCAAAAATGAAGAGCAAATAAAGACTTTTTAAGGCAAACAAAATTTAAAGGAAATTGGGGGGAGGGGGGAAGAATCAGGTGGTGGTGGTGATTAAGGGAGCTGAGCTCCCACATGATCAGCCATGGTTTAAGCCCTGGACATGGTGGCTTGAAAATCATGCCAGGCATGTGTGTGTGCATGCCCAAAGTCCCAGGAGGATAATGGAGAAAGGATTGCAGCATGCTCCTTACCTCCCACTCCCACCCCGTGAGGGTGATTTCTCACTTTCCCTCTGTCTGTCTCTGGTGAGCACACGTGTCCTATGGCAAAAACATACCAAAAGACAACAAAATTTGAAGGGAGTAGTTGCCAGTAGACCTGCCTTGCGAGAATTATTTAAAGAAGTTTTTCAGAGAGAAGGAAATTAAAGTAAGTCACATAAAGAAATAACAAGCGTCAGAGAACACCCAACATAGAACAGTGGGTCTACATAAGGAATGACCAAGCATCAGAAAACATCCACCACAGAAAAGGAATTAAACAACTAAATAGACCAAACAACTTAGCCAGTTGATGTTTTCCAGCCTCTGTTGTTGGTACCCCAATTATGGCAAGATGAACATATAAATAGAGGAAACATGGCAGAGGCCATGCATCAGTCCAGCATCATAGATTCAACAGGGTTGATGTAGTTACTGCTGGTGCAAATGTCCATTTTTT